TCAGGCAGACAGGCCTGGCTCAAATCCTGGCTTTAGCACGCACCAGCGGGCCTGGAAAGGAATCAGGCCTAATGATTCTTACCTTGTGATGCCATTTTTAGGATTAGGAAAAAATAAAAAATAAAAAAATATATCCATATTGTAGTCTTTGGTATCTGGTTCAATAGATGGCAACTTTTATTGTATGCCAAACGCCTGGTGACGTGATACTGCTGCTTTCTCCTTACCCACCCCCGCCCCATCCATAGGCACCTCCAGGAGGTTAGATCTTCACTATTCAGCCCTGCCCCTGCCCCCATCACCCAGGAAGCAGCCCCCAACCTGGTGAACAGCCCAGATGACTGAAACCCAATACCTCTCCATGGACTAGGGACTGAGCTCCCAGCTTGCATTTCCCTAACAACGTGAGCAGAATACACGCACGCAGGGCAGTTGTAGATATACACACAGATGAGAGACAGACACCGTCTGCATCAGCCAGACCCAGGGGAAGGCTGGGAACCTCAGCCCCAGGCTTCCCTGAGCACTCTCTTTTGTATCCTGCAGACAAGTGATTCAATTCAGCCAGCACCGATTAGTGTCGACTACATGCCAGCACTGGGCACATAGGGATGAACAGGGCTTAAGGCACATCCTAGCCCTCATTCCCCTGTCATTACCCATGGCTGAGAAGTGCCCTTGAGTGCCCATCCCCCTCTCTCATTTGTCCTTCTATCCCAGGTACTATAACCTCTTATTAAGATTAATGTATGACAGTGACTTCAAGTAATTTGGAATTCTCCAGGTGGCCTGGCAATTGTTTAGAAATAGCATCTCCTGAGATGTTCCCAAAGCAAGAGAAATCCCAGGTTCTGTAAGAAAAAAGTTAGTTAAAGGAATGGCAGATTCCACTGTCTTTTAGCAGAAATGAGAATACACGAACAGCATTTCTTTCTGCATTCGACAATACTAGTTTGGTTGAATTAATGAATACGTGAATGGAGGAGTGAACAAACCAGCCAATTAATGAAGAAAGCAGCTAATGCGGTCTCTAAGCATGAAACCATGCCATACCGCCAGTTAAGCAGCGTGTCTTCTATGCCACAGAGCAGAGAGTTTTGTTCCAAGCCCACAGAGAGAAGTGCTAGGATGCACACATGGGGCTCCTGTCCTCTTCAACCCACACATGAAGCCCCAGCTTGGGCTGGGAACATCTGCCTGACCATGCCCCTCCCTGAGCTCACCCCACACCGCTTCAAGGGGACCCAAGGAATGTGCAGTCACAGAGCTTTAGACCCATAGAGTCCTTGGGGTTGTGAGGTGATGGGTGGTGTGAGACAAACAGTGTTGAAGAAGGTACTTGGAGCCAGACAATGTGGGCTCAAGTCTTGGATCTAGTGCCCACTAGCGAGTCACGTGTTCTCTCTGATCTTCGGTCTCTTCATCTGTGACATGAGGATAGCAATATCCTTTCTATGGGATGATGATGACTAGATGAATCAATGCACCTAAATGCACTTTCTAAACCATGAATGCCCTCAACTTGCAGCCTAAGCATACCAAAAGCTATGAGGTCGGGGTGGCAGGCAGGACGTGGTGTCCCAGGCCCTCTGCCTGCCTGTCTCTCAGCCAAGGTCACTGAGTGCAGTTCTCACACCAAGCCAGCTGCCTGACACCTTAGCGCCCATCTCTCAGTGCTCCCCTCCCAGCGCTGAGAACTGAGGAGTTGTGCAGCCTCAGCCCCGAGGCACTGTCACGCTCCAGCACCTGTCATTCCTCCTGTGCACAAGAGGAGAATGGGAGGCGACACCTGGAGATGAAGTGGGAAGGAAGAGCTGTCAGCAGGGACTGCTGTGGGTGCAGATGTCAGGAAGGCAAAGGGGAACACTGGGTGGCCTGGAGAGGGGGAGGCTGCAAGGGCAGGCACAGAAACACCAGCCCTGGCTCTGCTATCGCGAAGCAGCTGATCTTGGACAAATGACTTCTGCCCTCTACTCTCCCTGGGGACTAGATGACCCACGTCTAAAGGCTGCTCTGCCTGCCGCACCGGGGTGGTATTACAACATACTTCATGGAATCTAAGACCCCAACAATTGCAAGATGCCCCCAAACTGTATGTACCACTAAGAAAGAAAGAAAGAAAAATGCTGTCCGTTAAACTATATCACGCCACTATTGTAAGGCACAGGTTGATGTCAGAGATGTTCCAGCATGAAAAATGTGCATCTGAGAAGCGAAGCCATGTGTCAGAGGAAAGCGCTTGGAATGTAAGACGAAATGTGATCATCCGTTCCTATGGGACAGAACCGCAACCTGAGCCCCTCAGCCCCATAGCCAGGGTCTCAAGAGCCTGCCAAGCCCTTTGCCTGAAGCATGTCTGCATGTGAATTAAGGAGAGAGAAAGAGAACAGTCCATGCTGGGAAGAGGATCAAGCAGTGGGTGTGCAGGAGGAGCAGGAGCAAGTCCTCACAGTTCAGATGGAAAGCAGCGGCCTGCCAGGCCATCCGCTGAGCCAGTCTGAAGAGCCGCTAAGAAAGGAAGAGGTCAGGGCTGGGTGCAGAGAGCACATAGGGGACAAGCGGGCCGGCCAAGCTCAGTGCCTGCACCGCTCTCCTGCGCTGGGAACACGCAGGGAGGACCCACAGGGCCCTCTTGGCTGTGCTAACAAAAGGACCCTGTTGACTCCTACAAATCTGCTCCTTCACCCACGTAGCGACTCTCATTTGAAGACAACGATTACTTGTCTCTTGTAAGTGTTCTCTTGTCCAGCCAAATGGTCCAGTTCCTCCCCCTCCCCTCACCCACCACAGTTCCCAGACCCCACACCGGAATGGCTGCATTCTCCTTTAGCAGTACTGTGACCTGTCAAAATGCCTCCTAAAATGTGACATCCAAAAGACTTACTTTGGAGCTTAGTTGATAATAATTTATCACAGTAAAAAACAGAAGTAATCAAAGTGTCCAATGATTGCAAAAATGAGAAGCAAGCTGTGTTCACCTACTTAACAAACTGCTGATCGGTCATTACAGATTTTTAGCAAAATATGCAATAACATGTAATATGCTCATACAATATTGGAAAAGGGCAGCAAAATTACAAGCCTTTGAAAGAGAGTGTGCTGAGCATTAAAGGCTGGAAGGAAAGATCACAAAATAATC